GGTCTCATCCTAGGTGTTAGTGGACTGGTAGGGGGTCATCCTAGGTGTTTAGTGGACTGGTAGGGGTCTCATCCTAGGTGTTAGTGGACTGGTAGGGGTCTCATCCTAGGTGTTAGTGGACTGGTAGGGGTCTCATCTAGGTGTTAGTGGACTGGTAGGGGTCTCATCCTAGGTGTTAGTGGACTGGTAGGGGTCTCATCCTAGGTGTTAGTGGACTGGTAGGGGTCTCATCCTAGGTGTTAGTGGACTGGTAGGGGTCTCATCCTAGGTGTTAGTGGACTGGTAGGGGTCTCATCCTATGTGTTAGTGGACTGGTAGGGGTCTCATCCTAGGTGTTAGTGGACTGGTAGGGGTCTCATCCTAGGTGTTAGTGGACTGGTAGGGGTCTCATCCTGGAACAAAACTGATTAATTTGCAGTAAATGTTCTCCATAATAAGCAGCTTTTTACATAATAGTAGGTGGTTAATGTCTGCTAGGCCTTATAACTTGCACATGTACTTGTAGAAATATATTTAAAAGAAAAAAAAAAGTACACATACAGGAATTAATACACATTCGTCTGTTTTTACATTCTCAGTGTCTCTGTTTATTCATTCTATCTGTGATTAAATTCAGTGAACAAAGTAAGTGGATGGTGGTGGTACTACTACTACTACTACTACTCATAATAATAATAATAATAATAAAATAATAATCGACTACTTTATGGTCAATGGTCCATATATACGTGTCCCATATGATTCTCAGATATGTGTTTGTTATTAGAAGATTCCTGAATACCAGTCAGTACATTCATTGTTTACATACCAGTCAGTACATGCAGTATTTACATACCTGTCAGTACATGCAGTGTTTACATACCAGTCAGTACATGCAGTGTTTACATACCAGTCAGTACATACAGTGTGTACATACCTGTCAGTACATGCAGTGTTTACATACCAGTCAGTACATACAGTGTTTACATACCAGTCAGTACATGCAGTGTTTACATACCAGTCAATACATGCAGTGCTTACATACCAGTCATTACATGCAGTGTTTACATACCAGTCAGTACATGCTGTGTTTACATACCAGTCAGTACATGCAGTGTTTACATACCAGTCAGTACATGCAGTGTTTACATACCAGTCAGTACATGCAGTGTTTACATACCAGTCAATACATGCAGTGCTTACATACCAGTCATTACATGCAGTGTTTACATACCAGTCGGTACATACTGTGTTTACATAACATTCAGTACTTGCAGTGTTTATATACTAGTCAATACAGAATTTGGTAAAAACAAGCCTATCTGATGTTATCCTGACACCAAATGACTTCGACCAGGCGATAAATGACATGCCCATGCACTCTGCCCCAGGGCCAGACTCATGAAACTCTGTGTTCATCAAGAACTGCAAGAAGCTCCTGTCACGTGCTTTTAACATCCTATGGAGAGGAAGTAACTGGGGCCGTCCCACAGTTACTAAAAACAACAGACATAGCCCCACTCCACGAAGGGGGCAGTAAAGCAATAGCAAAGAACTACAGACCTATAGCACTAACATCCCATATCATAAAAATCTTTGAAAGGGTCCTAAGAAGCAAGATCGCCACCCATCTAGATACCCATCAGTTACACAACCCAGGGCAACATGGGTTTAGAGCAGGTTGCTCCTGTCTGTCCCAACTACTGGACCACTATGACAAGGTCCATGTGACCATGGCGTAATAGTGCACAAAATGCATGCTAAAGGAATAACAAGAAAAGTTGGTAGGTGGATCTATAACTTCCTGAGGCAGACACTGCTGCACGGTCAGCAGTACATGACCTACCAGTTTCATCTAGAGGTGTTCCATTTATGGACTATTTTGCTGCAATAGCTACCCACCTTCACACCCGTTGGCAACAACGTTGGTCTACTCTACTCGGTAACAAACATCAATTTATTAAACCGAGTATACGTTACTGGCCGTCTTCTTGTCACCAGTGTCGAGGTTGGGAGACTACTCTCTCCCGTCTTCGCATCGGCCATACTCGTGTTACTCATGGATATCTCATGGAGACGCGCCCTGTTTCTCTCTGTGAGAATTGTCAGGTTCCATTATCAGTCAGCCACATTCTGTTACTGTGCACTTTATCAACGAGCATGCAGAATTTACCTCCATCGTCGTCTTCGCTCCGCTGCTCTCTCTTTACCTTCCCTTCTCGCTGATGGACCTACCTTTCATCCGGACTCTCTCATTGACTTTTTGACAACAACTGACTTACTTCACAAACTCTGATGATACCTTCCTCCCTTTCTACCTCAATCTCTTGCTACCCTCTACCCCCACACTATCCCCTGCCCCGCTGTTTTCTGTAACCTACTGATCATCCCTTGCCCCTTCTGCCGCCCAATACCCTCGCTTCCTTCCCTACCCTGCAGCGCTGTATAGCCCTTGTGGCTTAGCGCTTCTTTTTGATTATAATAATAATAATAATAATATAACTTCCTGACAAATAGAACACAAAGAGTAGTAGTAAACAGAGTCAAGTCTGAGGCGGCTACGGTGAAAAGCTCTGTTCCGCAAGGCACAGTACTAGCTCCCATCTTGTTCATCATCCTCATATCTGACGTAGACAAGGATGTCAGCCACAGCACCGTGTCTTCCTTTGCAGATGACACCCGAATCTGCATGACAGTGTCTTCCATTGCAGACACTGCAAGGCTCCAGGCGGACATCAACCAAATCTTTCAGTGGGCTGCAGAAAACAATATGAAGTTCAACGATGAGAAATTTCAATTTCTCCGATATGGTAAACGTGAGGAAATTAAAATTTCATCAGAGTATAAAACAAATTCCAACCACACAATAGAGCGAAAAACTAATGTCAAACACCTGATAGTGATCATGTCGGAGGATCTCACCTTCAAGGACCATAACATTGTATCAATCGCATCTGCTAGAAAAATGACAGGATGGATAATGAGAACCTTCAAAACTAGGGAGGCCAAGCCCATGATGACACTCTTCAGGTCACTTGTTCTATCTAGGCTGGAATATTGCTGCACACTAACAGCACCTTTCAAGGCAGGAGAAATTGCTGACCTAGAAAATGTACAGAGAACCGTCATGGCGCGCATAACGGAGATAAAACACCTCAGTTACTGGGAGCGCTTGAAGTTCCTAAACCTGTACTCCCTGGAACGCAGGCAGGAGAGATACACGATTATGTATACTTGGAAAATCCTAGAGGGACTAGTACCAAACTTGCACACGAAAATCACTTCAAAAGCAAAAGACTCGGCAGACGATGCAACATCCCCCAATGAAAAGCAGGGGTGTCACTAGCACGCTAAGAGACAATACAATAAGTGTCAGGGGCTCAAGACTGTTCAACTGCCTCCCAGCATACATAAGGGGGATTACTAATAGACCCCTGGCAGTCTTCAAGCTGGCACTGGATGGGCACCTAAAGTCGGTACCTGACCAGCCGGGCTGTGGCTCATATGTTGGATTGCGTGCAGCCAGCAGTAACAGCCTGGTTGATCAGGCCCTGTTCCACAATGAGGCCTGGTCACAGACTGGGCCGCGGGGGCGTTGAGTCCCGGAACTCTCTCCAGGTAAACTCTCCAGTACATGCAGTGTTTACATACCAGTCAGTACATGCAGTGTTTACGTACCAGTCAGTACATGCAGTGTTTACATACCAGTCAATACATGCAGTGTTTACATACCAGTCAGTACATGCAGTGTTTACATACCAGTCAGTACATGCAGTGTTTACGTACCAGTCAATACATGCAGTGTTTACATACCAGTCAGTACATGCAGTGTTTACGTACCAGTCAGTACATGCAGTGTTTACATACCAGTCAGTACATTCAGTGTTTACATACCAGTCAATACATGCAGTGTTTACATACCAGTCAGTACATGCAGTGTTTACATATCAGTCAGTACATGCAGTGTTTACGTACCAGTCAATACATGCTGTGTTTACATACCAGTCAGTACATGCAGTGTTTACGTACCAGTCAATACATGCAGTGTTTACTTATCAGTCAGTACATGCAGTGTTTACATATGCTGCTGTATGTAATAATTTAGCTGTATTTATGGTATGTTTACCTAAATAAATTGCCTGATTTGACTTGTTGACTACTGACTTATTGACTGGACTGACTGACCTCCTATCTTGACAGACTGTACTGACTTGACTGACTGCATTGACTGACTTACTGATTGGACTGACTGACTGACTGACTGACTGACTGATCATACTGACTGACTGTACTTACTGATTGGACTGACTTACTGGCTGACTGACTGATCATACTGACTGACTGTACTTACTGATTGGACTGACCTACTGTCCTGAGTGTACTGACTTGAAGGGCTTAATGATTTGACTGACTGACCTACTGACTCTACTAACTATAGTGACTTACTGACTAGACTGAGCAGTTTACTGACTTGACTGACTAACTATAGTTAGTGAGTACCAACTGACTGAGGGAATGAGACGGAGGCTGAGAAAGCGTGATGTGAGATGAGATGCTGAGACAGGCTGTTGTTTCCACCACCACTGTTCTCGTACATTTTATAATACTGACTACTTGGACAATTGGTCGTAAGTCTGAGCAGTCGTTAAACATGTAGGTCGTTAAATGAGGAGAGGCTGTATAATAAATTTTTTATTATAATTATAATTAACAAAGAAGTAATGATAATATTTTAACGAGAAGAATTATTATTCAGTATATTTAATTGGAATCATTAATAATGATAAAATAATATATTAATGAAATAGATTATTATTATTCAGTATTATAGTATTATTATAATTCAGTATTACTATTAATATCATAATTATATTGTATTTATATTATTATTAAAATTCAGTATTCATAATTTGTAGTAATAATAATATTAATAAAAGTGATAATGCAAATAAAAATAAATACATTTTTCTAATAACAATTTTAATTCAATATTTAGTTAGTAATGATGATTGTTTGTTGAGGTGATGGAGGTGATGAAGGCGCTGGAGTCGTCCTCCAGCCGGATATTTCTTGACCTGGCCTGGCCTGGCTCCACCAGAGGAAGACTCCACATCCAGCTGAATACTGACACCTTACTGGCCAAACAGTTTATGTTGTTGTGTACTGGACAGCAGCAGTCAGGCTCCTCCTTCCTCAACACTAAACTGTTAGGGGTGTGGAAGAAGGGTGAGCCAGGGGAGTGTGTAAGGGGTGGAGACTACCAGTACAATAATGGTAGTGGAGGAGCACCATTACTGCCTCACCAGCATGATCTCCAGTACCAGAAGTCAGGCAGAGCTGGTGCTGTGTGGTCATGGTGGGAGCCATGCAGTGACAAGAGCACACAGTTTGGCATCACCACCAGGGACTGCACACCTGGTAGCCAGTGGTTGTGTGTCTTTGGTGAGGTAGTGAGTGGTCTGGATGTGGTGAGAGCAGCTGTCAACCACAGTGACATCTCGAAGGTGACTGTGGTGGACTGTGGTGTTGTCTTGACTCTCTAGTTCACTCTACCATCACTACTGTCACCATCACTGCTGTCACCATAACTACAGTGGTGTGTCATCACTATAATGCTGTGTCACCAGTGGCACCACCATCACTACAGTGGTGTCATCACTATAATCCTATGTCACCATCACTACAGTGGTGTGTCACCATCACTTCAGTGGTGTGTCACCATCACTACAGTGGTGTATCACCACTTCAGTGGTATGTCACCACTTCGGGTATCATCGCTATAGTGGTGTGTCACCATCACTACAGTGATGTATCACTACAGTGGTGTGTCTCCATTGCTTCACTGTTTTCACCATCACTTCTGTGGTATCACCATCACTACAGTGGTGTTACCAATTCAGTGGTATCACCGTCTCTACAGTGATGTGTCCCCAATTCAGTGGTATCACTACAGTGGTGTCACCATCACTAGTGGTATGTCACCATCACTACAGTGGTGTGTCACCACTACAGTGTCATGTCACCAGCACTAGAGTGGTGTGGCACCACTACAGTGCTATGTCACCAACACTACAGCAGTATGGCACCATCATTGTAGTGGTGACACACCCATCCTGTGGATGGCAGTCTAAAAAGACTATAATGGTACATAACAGGTCCAGGAACTAGACCTCAACATTTTATTAACTAAGCAAGACACATAAACATCACAATAAAACATATTGTTAGAGACACACAGGTCGTAGGAACTGACAAAACAACTCTGTTGATTACGTGCTTCTAAGGTTGTGAGTTATCAACAGTAAGTTATCAACAGTAAGTTATCAACAGTAAGTTATCAACAGTAAGTTATCTACAGTAAGTTATCTACAGTAAGTAAAGTTAAGGCATTTGTTCCAGGAATTTCTGGCAGTGCAATTATGAATGATATTTTTATCAATTCCTTAAATATTTGTCAGTAAACTCTCTCTGAAATTGTTAGTATTCAAATACAGCTGTAGTTTATTTAAATAACTGTTGACAAAGTTTATGTTAATAGATCTACAGAAACATACTGTACATTCTACAAAGTTTATGTTAATAGGATCTACAGAAACATACTGTACATTCTACAAAGTTTATGTTAATAGGATCTACAGAAACATACTGTACATTCATTATTCTTGATATTATTGTAAACTCATTCCTTCTGCTATGCTTCACCATCACAATGTTGGGCTCCATTACCTGGACCTGAGATTTTTTAACTTCTACTCAGTGGGTTATGAGTTGCATAATAAAGTTATCAAATAAAAATAATAGAAGTTTAATTAACACTTAACAATAATATTGATTTACCAGGAAGTTAATTAAGAAAAACCTGTTACATTATAGCTAAGAAAATAACAACCAGTGGTAATAACTACATTTATCTTTATTACTCCTCTTCTAGGGAGGCTCCTTGGCACAGTGAAGAGGCTCTTGGTCTGAGGAATTAGACCTTTCACTCTCCTTCCTCAGACCGAACCTAATTACACCCCAATCCCTGGTTGCCTGGTGGCTAAAGCTCCTGCTTCACGCACGGAGGGCCCGGGTTCAGTTCCTGACGGGTGGAAATATTTCGACGTGTTTCCTTACACCTGTTGTCCTGTTCACCTAGCAGCAAATAGATACCTGAGTGTTAGTCGACTGATGGGTCCCATCCTGGGAGACAAGATTGAGGACTCCAATGGAAAAAAGTTAGACAGTCCTTGACGATGCACTGACTTTCTTGGGATATCCTGGGTGGCTAACCCTCAGGGGTTAAAAATTTGAATGAAATCTTAGAACACTTGGTAGATGGATCTACAACTTTCTGACAAACAAAACACAAAGAGTAATAGTAAACAGAGTAATGTCCCAAACAGCCATGGTAAAAAGCTCTGTTCCACAAGGCACAGTACTTGCTCCCATTTTATTCCTCATCCTCATTTCTGACAGAGATGTAAGCCATAGCTCCATATCTACCTTTGCGGATGACACGCGGATCACCATGGCGGTGACCTCCATCGAAGACGCCACGAGACTCCAAGCAGACATCAACCAAATCTTCGAATGGGCCACTCAAAACAATATGAAGTTCAACGAGGAGAAATTTCAACTACTCAGATATGGAAAACTGGCAGAAATTAAAAATGGGTCAGGGTATACCATAAATTCTAACCATACAATAGAGCGGAAAAGTAATGTGAAGGACCCGGGAGTGATAATGTCAGAGGATCTCACCTTCAAAGACCACAACAACGTATCTACCTCATCCGCTGGGAAAATGATAGGATGGATAATGAGAACCTTCAAAACTAGGGATGCCAAGCCCATGATGATTCTCTTTAAATCACTTGTGCTCTGTAGGCTGGAATACTGCTGTACACTAACGGCCCCCTTCAAGGCTGGCGACATTCAAATTCAATTCAAACTTTATTCTCTATAAGTATTACAATGCTGAGTTTACAGAATTTGGTTATTGTGTGGTTTACATGTAGTAAAATAATAATTACAGAGTGTACCACTAGAACGCCTAGCATGGCTAGGCATTTCGGGCAGACTTATATTAAATCTTAGGTTTAAAATGTTACAAAATTATGAGATAAGTTGGTATTATGGCTAAGTAACTAAATACTAGTTGTGAGTTCAGCAATGCGAATGCTTTTGTTTTGGCACTATACATAGTTTCAGTATTGGAGTATCACAGGCCAACTTATGACTAGTTAAGATTCAATATTTTGAGATTGAGATTGATATTTTTGTTTATGGTCAAATGGGTGAGTGAGTGTAAGTGTGAACCACTAGGTGGTATTCGTATTATTAGTTGACAGGGTGTATCAGGGAGACAAGATGTTTTCTGATGGTAGTTTTGAAGGTGATGAATGTGACTGCAGTTTTGGAATTTTCAGGTAGGGTGTTCCAGATTTTAGGGCCTTTGACATACATTGAATTTTCGTAAAGGTTTAGTCAGACACGGGGAATGTCATAGAGATGTTTGTGTCTGGTGTTGTGCCTGTGGGTTCTGTCACAACTATCAAGAAAGCGTTTTAGGTCAAGGTTAATATTGGAATTTAAGGTCCTGTAGATGTAGATTGCACAGTAGTAAGTGTGGATGTACTGAACAGGGAGTAAGTTTAGATCTATGAAGAGTGGGGGGGGGTGTGTTGCCAGGGATGGGATTTAGTGATTATTCTTACTGCGGCTTTTTGTTGGGTTATTATTGGCTTTAGGTGTGTTGCTGCAGTTGAACCCCATGCACAGATAGCATAGGTGAGGTATGGATATATAAGTGAATGGTATAGTGTGAGAAGGGCAGTTTGCGGCATGTAATATCGTATCTTGGAGAGGATCCCAATCGTTTTGGATACTTTTTTGGTTATGTGTTGGATATGGGTGCTGAGGTTCAGGTTGTTGTCGAGGTATAGGCCTAGGAATTTGCCCTCATTATGCCTGGTAATTAGAGTGTTGTCGATCTTAATGTTAATTTGCGCATCTCCTGCTCTGCTACCAAACATAATGTAGTAGGTTTTGTCAACGTTAAGCGTAAGTTTATTGGCTGTCATCCAAGTCGATATTTTGATCAGCTCCTCATTAACAATGGTGTTGAGGGTGGCAAGATTAGGGTGAGAGATGACATAAGTTGTGTCGTCAGCAAAGAGAATGGGGTTCAGGTGTCGAGATACGTTTGGAAGATCATTGATGTATATGAGGAAGAGCAGGGGACCAAGGACACTTCCCTGCGGAACTCCAGTATCAAGTGGCTGTGTTGTTGATGCTGTGTCTTTAATGGTGACATACTGATACCTATTAGTAAGGTAAGATTTGAAATATGCAAGCGCATGGCCTCTTATACCATAATGGTCAAGTTTGTGGAGTAGGATGCCGTGGTCTACTGTGTCAAAAGCTTTTCTTAGGTCAAAAATTCCTAGTGGATATTCCTTATTTTCCAATGCTGTGTAAAGCAGATCTAGCATTTTTATAATTGCATCGTTAGTGCTTTTATTTTTCCTGAATCCAAATTGGCAGGGGTTGAGTATGTTTTGTGATGTTATAAATGAATATAGTCTCCTGTGCACGAGTTTCTCAAAGATTTTGGATAGCAATGGTAAGTTTGATATTGGCTTATAGTTGTTTAAATCTGTAGGGTCACCACCTTTATGTATTGGTGTAACCCTTGCCGTCTTGAGTAGTTTTGGGGAGGTGCTAGCTTCTAGTGACTTGTTAAAAAGCAATGAGATAGTATGCGAGAGGACATGGGCCGCTCTCTTGTACAATAATGGTGGGACATGAGACAGATTCCCCGAGTTATTTTTAAGTGACTTTATAATCTCGGTGACTTCCGTGGGCTCAGTTGGAGCAAGATAGAAGGAATTTGGGAAATTCCCATCTAGGTAGTCCCCGGCATGGGCATTGGTACGTGGGATTTTATTGGCGAGATTAGAACCTATGGTTGAGAAGAAGTCGTTTATCTTGTTAGCTGTGTCGGTGGGTTGCAGTGGTGTTTCATTAGGTTTAGTTAGGACAATATTCTGGTTTTTTTCAGTTTGTGGGTCCCTAGAATCTGAGAGAGTGTTTTCCAGGTCTTTTTTATATCTCCTCTTGTGTCAGTGAATCTACTGGAGTAGTATAGTTGTTTGGCTTTCTTTATTACTTTAGTGAGGACTGATGAATAGTGTTTAAGAATATCTTTGTGTATTGAGCCCTGTCTATATTGCTTTTCATATTGGTGTTTCTTATCAATGGATTTCAGAATGGTGCTGGTTAGCCATGGGCAACCAAGCCGTTTGTTTGTGATCTGTTTCGTTTTTATAGGACAATGTTTGTTGTATAGTCTAAGTAGTTTAAGAAAAATGTCTGTCCAGCCGTCAATACTATTGGCCTCGGAGAATTCTGTAGGCCAGTCAACAATCTCTAGGTCAGCTGTGAACTTCCTTATTGAGGCCTCATCATGGAGTCTAAATGAGACTTTGTTGTATTCAAGTGGTGGTTTACTAATGTTTGTCAAGAGGAAGGTAGGGTAGTGGTCTGTAGTGCTATCTGTGATTATCCCTGATTTAAGGGGGGCTAGTACAGTGGACCCCCGCATAACGATGGCATCACATAGCGATTAATCCGCATACCGCTTGCCTTAATCGCAAAAATTTTGCCGCGCATACCGATTAAAAACCCGCTCACCGATTTTCGTCCGAGACGCGTCCAATGTGCGCCCTCAGCCAGCCTCACATGTGCCGCCCGTGCCATTGTTTACCAGCCAGCCTCCGCGGTAACATCCAAGCATACACTCGGAATATTTCGTATTATTACAGTGTTTTCGGTGCTGTTTCTGGAAAATAAGTGACCATGGGCCCCAAGAAAGCTTCTAGTGCCAACCGTACACCAATAAGGATGAGAATTCCAATAGAAATGAAGAAAGAGATCATTGATAAGTATGAACGTGGAGTGCGTATCGCCGACCTAGTCAAGTTGTACAAGAAACCCCAATCAACCATCGCTACTATTGTGGGCACCAGAAAGACAATCAAGGAAGCTGTTCTTGCCAAAGGTTTAACTGTGTTCTCGAAACAAAGATCGCAAGTGATGGAAGATGTTGAGAGACTCTTATTGGTGTGGATAAATGAAAAACAGCTAGCAGGAGATAGCGTCTCTCAAGCGATCATATGTGAAAAGGCTAGGAAGTTGCATGAGGATTTAATTAAAAAAATGCCTGCAACTAGTGATGATGTGAGTGAATTTAAGGCCAGCAAAGGTTGGTTTGAGAGATTTAAGAAGCGTAGTGGCATCCATAGTGTGATAAGGCATGGTGAGGCTGCCAGTTCGGACCACAAAGCGGCTGAAAAATATGTGCAGGAATTCAAGGAGTACATAGACAGTGAAGGACTGAAACCTGAACAAGTGTTTAATTGTGATGAAACAGGCCTGTTCTGGAAGAAAATGCCAAGCAGGACCTACATTACTCAGGAGGAAAAGGCACTCCCAGGACATAAGCCTATGAAAGACAGGCTTACTTTGTTGATGTGTGCCAATGCTAGTGGTGATTGCAAAGTTAAGCCTTTATTAGTGTATCACTCTGAAACTCCGAGAGCGTTCAGGCAAAAGAATGTCCTCAAGGATAATTTGTGTGTGCTGTGGAGGGCAAACAGTAAGGCATGGGTCACTAGGGACTTTTTCTATAACTGGTTACACATGCATTTGCCCCCAATGTGAAAGATTACCTAACTGAAAAGAAATTAGACCTTAAGTGCCTCCTGGTGTT